TTCCAGGGAGCAGTGAGATCCTGTGGAGAAAAAAGGCTATGGCAGGCCATGGGTAGCACAGGGTTTAGATGGATGCCCCACATGTGCGATTGAATATATATTTGCACACACTTGCTCAGGAGTCTGCCTGCAAATACACATGCTCCTGATATATACTTCCCATTGCTGCACCTGTGCACATGCACCCCTACCCACAGGCCTACACACACGAGGGTTCACTCACATACACCCATCACAAGACTGCACACTCAAACTCACTCATAGGCACACGCATCTTTTGCATATATAGTTGACCCTTGAACAATGCAGAGATTAGGGGTGCTGACCCTCAACAGTCAAAAACCCATGTATAACTTTTGAATCCCCCAAAACTTAACTACTTGTAGCCTGCTATTGACCAGAAGCCTTACTGTTAACACAGTTGGTTAGCACATGTTTTGTATATGTATTATATACTGTATTCTTACAATAAAGTAAGCTAGAGAAAAGAAAATGTCATTAAGAAAGTAATAAGGAAAATACATTTACAGTACTGTATGTATATATTTGCTGAAAAAAATCCACATGTAAGTGGACCTACGCAGTTCAAATCTGTGTTGTTAAGGGTCAACTGTATATCCTCATTCATGCACATATACACACTGTTGAATACCTGTCCTCGCATGCATATACAAATTTACTCCCTCTTACATACATACTATACATACACAGATGGACACACTCATACATAGGCTTGCACATAAGTTAGCTTGTGTGTACACACCACACACACAAGGTGATGCACAGGTGCTGATTCACACATGTCTGCATATATCCGCCTACATATTAGCACATACATATTCACTTATGCTTACCTGCACTCATATCAGCTAATAATCATGTACCTGTACACAAACACACACATGCCTGCAAATATATGCATATACTCTTGCCATGCTGTGGAGGTACACTCTTAACCCTGGTCCTGGGGCCTGGATGGCACTGCCCTCTGTTGGAGACAGCGGATAAGTTCCTTTCGGTTGTCTAGGATGGTGTCAAAGCTCTCCTGCAGGCGGGCCTGCTGGTCAACCAGCTGGTGCTGCAGGCCGCGGATCCACTGGAGCAGGGCCAGGCGACGGTACATCACCAAGTGCATGTGGTGCTTCTCCTTTTCTTGTTCTTTGTAGCGCTCTTGAGCTTGCAGCTTCTGCACAGCCTGGGCCACTGAGGGCAGAAGAGGATCTGAAATGCCAGGGCCTCGAGGGGTCCCACAGGCAGGCTCAGGGCTGCTGTTAGGGCTGTCAATGCTCAGGGAGCTGCTGGCATAGCCGTTGTCCTCCAGAGGGGAGCAGACTGTGCCAGTACCACCCATCTTCTCTGGCTCAGCTCTGGGGATCTCTGCCCCCTCTGGTGGGCTGCGGACCTCCCCCTCAGGAAGTCCAGGGGCCTGGAAGGCCTGCTTGTCAGAGGGCAGCTGGGAGGAGCTCCTCCTCAGGATGGGCTCCACTTGGCCTGGCATCCCATGCCAATTCTCATTGGCATCCTTGGCACTTGCCACGAAGTTGGAGTTGCTGTCTGGGTGGAACTCAGGCTGACATACTCCAGGAGGTGGGCCGCCCAGGAACTGGCCCCCCTCAGCTACCCCTGGCTGGATGGCAAACATCTGGTCTGTAGAGGGGAAGCAGAAGAATGAGTCAGAGCAGGACAGAGTGGGGTGCCTGAGTCGAGGTGACCGAGCCGCAGGGACAAGGAAGAGAGAGTGAGCATGGCTGCTCCCTCTCAGTCCCTTTCCCTGGACTCTGGTCACACCTCCTTTCCTGGTTTTCCTCCTCTTTCTCTGACTGTTCCTTCTCAGTCTCCTGCAGAAAGTTTTCCTTCAGCTCTCTGAGGCAGGTTGTCTTCTCATTCTATACACTTCTCCCCAGATGATGTCATTGCTCTGCTGTAGCTTCAAGAGCCATCACGTGTTGGTGACTCTCAGGTCTGTCTCCAGCCCAGATCCGACTGATATCCAGCTCTGCAACCAACCACAGGCCCCTCAAACTCTACATGTCCAAATCAACTCACCACTTTCAGTTTCCTCAGCAAAATGGCCCCACTCTCCATTCAGTCACTCCAGCCAGAAACCTGAGAGCATCCTGGACTCCTCATTCTGCTTCCTTCCCCCACCCCAATGGCCACCAAATTCTAACAATTCTTCCTCTTAAAAACCTCTGTGTTTATTTACATACATCTCCCCTCACTTTCACTTGGTTCAGACCACTTCTTACCTGGATTACTGACTGCCACAGCGTTTTCATTGATCTCTCAGCCTCCAGTGAAAAATGTAAATTTCACTGGTCACAGCTCAGAGTGCCCTCCCTAAACTCCTGCTAAATCCCTACATGGCCTACAGAGCTGTGCTTCATCTGGTCCCTCTTTACCCTTGCAGACTTGCCTCTTGCCACTCTGCCCCTCCCACCATACCAAAGTGCTCAGAGATCTCAGAATGCACCATTATTCTCCTTACACAATTCCCTTTGCCTGCAATACCCTTCCTCTCCCCTCCCCCTGAGGTCCTCCCTTGTCCACCCAGCAAATTCCTTTTTGTAATTCAAAACTCGGCTCTAATATCCCCACTTCCCTGAAGTGGTCCTGATATTCTCCCCACTGCCCCAATATACACAAACACACACAATGAACTCTGGCTTCCCCTGGGTCCCCATAGCCCTGAGTACATACTGTCTTATTCATGTTTGTTTCTTGTCACTGGCACATAGTTGATGGTCAGTAAATGTCTATTCAATTTTTTAAAACTCTCTTATAAATCTGGCTCCCTGACTAGACGTGGGACTTCTCTATCCTCCAGAATACTTGCAGGAGCCCGCATGGAGCTTGGCACTAAGCAGGTGTCAGACCATAATTGTTGAAAGAGGGAGGGGACTGTAGTGGGCTATATCTATGCTCAGGAAAACGGGGCCACTAGTAGCAGGAGGCTTCTGCTGACTGCTCAAGGAGAACCCCCCCCACACACACACTGACAAGCCTCTCTTAGGACCTTCTCCCCTTCCCTCCATGCCTCCTATCTTGTGTCCCTGCCTGTAGCTTGCTCCAACCTGAGGCCTGGAGGGAGGGCAGACCATACTCCTAATTCCTCCCCAACAATCGGCTTCTACCAAAATTAGGGTTCGAATTGGCAAGAGGTTTCTACTGACCACATTATCAGTAGGATTAGAAAAATGAGGGATCGGTAAGAGTGAAGGATAGTGGAAGTGGCAAGGACCCTCCCCACATCCAGTAGTGGGCAGAAGCCTGGGGGGAATGGTGTAGGGTGAGTCTTTTATAACCTACGAACTCTCAGCTAAGCCAGGTGCCTGGATATCTTCCCCACCCAGTTTTCTTTTCCCTAAACTTGGGCGGGGCCGTGAGGGAAGCTGGGATGCAACAGGGGTGGTGCTGCGAATAACAGGGTTCTCGTAGACGGTAAAATGGGAACCCAGACACCCCAGGATAAGGCTTCTCTCCAAGCTAATCTGCAGTTGGCCGAGGTGGGAGTGGGTGGGTAGGGGGAAAGTTAGCTCTGTAAGGAGGCGGAGAAGCGGCCTCCCTTCCTGCTTGGCCCTGCGGAAGAGGGAGGCTACCCCCAGAGCAGGATAGAAACCATCCCTCCCTAATCCCCTCGTATGCTGCAGCTGGGCGGAGGCTGCGATTTCCCTCTGGTCCGCAGAGCCCCCCACCCTCCCCGCCCTGGGCTCGGACTCACCGCCTGGAGGCGTCCTCTCTGCGCTGCTGGCTCTGGTGCTGCACTCCCGGCGGCGAGAACTTGACCCTCCGGGCTGAGGGGTCCCTCCGCCTGGACGTCAAGAGGGGACCTGGGCGTGGGGTGCGGGGTGCGGGGTGGCCGAGAGCGCGCCCAGCCCCAGGCGCGGACTGCGGAGCCGGGAGGTGTCAGCGCGCGGGGCGGGGCGGCCTGGCCCACGTGGGCTGGTTCGGTTTCCTGCCGAGACGCGCGCGCGCGTGCGGGGGGCCAACGCAGAAACCGCTTCCCCTCCTTCCCTTCCTTCGCCTCCCGCAGCCTTGACCCAGGCCTGTACGTCCAGTTTTATTTCCTAACTGCATTCACTGGGCCTCTCCGATCGGCTTATCTCACCGCAGATACAGTGACGTTTTCAAAATGAAAACTGATCATGTCACCACCCTCCGGCTGAAAAACCCTCATTAGCTGCCCCGTTGCAGGGTCAATCCTTAAGGCAGCAGCAGCCTCAGGCCTCTCTGAGCATCCTACCCTATCTGCTTCTCCTGCTTCAGCCCTTGCGCTCCACCTCAAGCACTCGTGCCTGACGCTTGCTTCTTTCTGCCGTGGGGGTTTTGCACACATTATATCCTCTGCCTAACGTTCTCTTCCCCTCTCTCATATTTCAGATCTCTTCTCAGATCAACCTTCTCTGACCCCCTTTTATATCATCCCTGGGCACTTTGTTCCTTTTCTTCATAGCATCTATCACAAATTGGAAATTATGTATTCATTTTATGCTTAATTATTAAAGCCACGTATGAGAGCTATGTTTTTAAAAATTTTATTTATTTAAATTAGTTTCAAGTATACAGTACATTGGTTAGACATCTGTATTGTTCATAAAACGATTCCCACAATTGCTCCCTCCCTCCCCTGGCCCTCCATTTAGCCATCATATTAATGCTGACTGCATTCCCTGTGCCTTACTCCCCACCTCGTGCCCCAACTATCAACTACTAATTTGTACTTCTTTAACCCTTCACCCAGCCCCCAAAACCCCTCCCCTCTGTCCGTCACCAAATTGTCCACTATATTTGTGAGTCTGTTTTTGATTAGTTTGTTCTTTTTGTTCCTTAGATTCCACAT